GAATGCAACGTCTGTCACAGAATGTGCTGTCATGCAGTGCAACATGATAGAATGCAACCGACATGCAGTGCGCTGTCATCATGCAATGCACTGTCATACAATGCGCTATCATGCAATGCACTGTCATGCAGTGCTCTGTCATTATGCCATGCCTGTCATACAATGCACTGTCATGGAATGCAGCGTCATGCAATGCACTGTCATCATGCCATGCCCTGTCATACAATGCGCTGTCAATTCAGTGTTATGCAATGCAACGTCATGCAATGCGCTGTCATCATGCCATGCAGTGTTATACAATGGGCTGTTATGCAGTGCAACAAAATGAAATGCAACGTGATGCAGTGCGTGCAATGCACGTCATGCAATGCACTGTCATCATGCAATGCTCTGTCGCACAATGCGCTGTCTTGCAATGCACTATCATGCAATGGCCTGTCATCATGACATGCACTGTCATACAACGCGCTATCATGCAATGCACTGTCATTATGCCATGCACTGTCATACAATGCGCTATCATGCAATGCACTGTCATGCAATGCAACGTCATACAATGCTCTGTCATGGAATGCAGTGTCATGCAATGCAACGTCATGCAATGCGCTGTCATTATGCCACGCACGGTCATACAATGCGCTATCATGCAATGCACTGTCATGCAATGCAACGTCATACAATGCTCTGTCATGGAATGCAGTGTCATGCAATGCTCTGTCATGGAATGCAGCGTCATGCAATGCACTGTCATTATGCCATGCCCTGTCATACAATGCGCTGTCAATTCAGTGTCATGCAATGCAACGTCATGCAATGCGCTGTCATCATGCCATGCAGTGTTATACAATGGGCTGTTATGCAGTGCAACAAAATGAAATGCAACGTGATGCAGTGCGTGCAATGCACGTCATGCAATGCACTGTCATCATGCAATGCTCTGTCGCACAATGCGCTGTCTTGCAATGCACTGTCATGCAATGGCCTGTCATCATGACATGCACTGTCATACAACGCGCTATCATGCAATGCACTGTCATTATGCCATGCACTGTCATACAATGCGCTATCATGCAATGCACTGTCATGCAATGCAACGTCATACAATGCTCTGTCATGGAATGCAGTGTCATGCAATGCTCTGTCATGGAATGCAGCGTCATGCAATGCAACATCATCATGCCATGCACTGTCATACAATGCGCTGTCGATTCAGTGTCATGCAATGCACTGTCATGCAATGCACTGTCATCATGCAATACCCTCTCCTACAATGGGCTGTCAATTCAGTGTCATGCAATGCAACATCATGCAATGCGCTGTCATCATGCCATGCACTGTTATACAATGGGCTGTTATGCAATGCAACATGATGGAATGCAACGTGATGCAGTGCGCTGTCTTCATGCAATGCACTGTCACATAATGAGCTGTCATGCTGTGCAAGGTTATGCAATGCAACGTCATGCAATCAATGCGTCGTCATCATGCCATGCACTGTCATACAATGCTCTGTCATGGAATGCAGTGTCATGCAATGAACTGTCATAATACAATGGGCTGTCATACAATGGGCTGTCATGCAATAAAACATTGATGGAATGCAACGTTTTGCATTGCGCTGTCATCATGCAATGCACTGTCATGCAATGCGCTGTCATCATGACATGCACTGTGATACAACGCGCTGTCATTGAATGCGGTGTCATGCGATGCAACGTCATGCAATGCACTGTCATTATGCCATGCACTGTCATACAATGGGCTGTCATGCAATGCAACAAGAGTGGATGCAACGCCTGTCACACAATGTGCTGTCATGCACTGCAACATGATGGAATGCAACGTCATGCAGTGTGCTGTCATCATGCCATGCACTGTTATACAATGGGCTGTCATGCAGTACAACATGATGGAATGCAACGTCATGCAGTGCACTGTCATCATGCTATGCACTGTCATACAATGCGCTGTCATGGAATGCAGTGTCATGCAATGCAACGTCATGCAATGCGCTGTCATCATGCCATGCACTGTCATACAATGGGCTGTCAATGCAGTATCATGCAATGCAACGTCATACAGTGCAGCATCATGCAATGCACGGTCATACAGTGGGTTGTCATGCAATGCAACATCTGGGAATCGTCATCATGCAATGCACTGTCACACAATGTGCTGTCATGCAATGCACTGTCATGCAATATCATGCAATGCAACATCATGCAATGCAGTGTCATCATGCCATGCACTGTCATACAATACGCTGTCATGCAATGCAGTGTGATGCAATGCAACGTTATGCAATGCCCTGTCATGCAATGCAGTGTCATGCAATGTAAGGTCATGCAATGCGCTGACATCATTCAATGCACTTTTGTCATGCAATGTATGGTAGGTTGACGACATGCATGCGAAATGGTGCAAGCTGTCATATTGACTGCCAAAGGTCATAAAATTGGAAAGAGTGCAGTGCCGTACAAATCATGGAAGCGGGAAGGTAGCTTGTCAAGCACTAACATCATGCAGCTGGAGGCATCTAAACAAATTACCTGTGACAAACATTGACAAACTGGTGGAAGAGAAAGAGCGCGCAGCGGACAACACAAAAAACAAAACCCCCGCCCAAAACATTGAGATTCCTCTTCCTCCAACGCCGCTGCCCGTTTTTGCCCGCGCCCCACCGGTTGCTCAAGCTGGGTTTGCTTGCCTAGCACCAACCGCAACACGAGAGAAGGCTTAGGCTAAGCTCACTCGCTGTGAGTCTCACTCGTCCTCGCCAGATCTTGCAAGTGTGCCCGGCCCAGCCAAGAAAAATAGGCTCAGCACTCAACATCTTGAGGCCACGGAAGCAAAGCTTCCTCAAAGGGGTCACCAGAGGTTCCCCCCACGGGCGCTGCCAAGATGAGGTTCACACGAGCCGTCCCCGGGTCTTTAGACAAGCCCTCCTACACAGCCAACCGCGAAGCCCCACCCCCACAATCCCCAAGCATGCAGTGGAGAGAGGAATAAACCTCCACACAGGGCCAGCAAAGCTGCCTTTCGTGCCGCATGCTCAGAGACCGCAGGCTAACTCAAGTATTGTTGAAGGGCCAAGCAAGCAAACCCAGCCATCGCTTCCGCCAAGAAGCGAACAAAAACGTGCTACAACATCTTCAGCTTTGGAATCTCAAGGGTTTGGTCTTTGTTTCCCTTTTATAACCGCAGTATTTCGCAGGCAGTCTCACACCAAGGAGACCGGGACAGTGAGAGACAGGAGCTGCGGCCCATGATGGCAAATCAACTCAATTGATTTGTCGCCGAATCAAAATTCACAACAAAATGTATCAATCCTCTGCTGCTATGGCATCGATTCAAAATAGTGATGCTCGCCTAAGGTAATGACCCTTGGCCATGCCACTGTCTGAATGGCCTGCAACTAAGTATAGCCCAATAACTGACTATGGCAGAATCAGGCCGGAACTCCACCAAATGAAAATCACCTGGTTCAAGATTCTTTCACCACCCTCACCCACACATTGAATACCAAAACTTGATTGATGGTTGAAGAGTTGAATATGAATATGATGGTTGAACTGGACTCCTAAACTCTTCCATCCTTGCAATGGATGGCTCCTCGCATTTTTCTGCATATGATTTTGCGGGCATGTATTGTGAACCGCCCACCCAAAACCTGACACTTTTGTTTTTATATTTTTTGTCTTTTCTTAACGCATTTAGAAGCACGATGCAAGAAGCCATCAAATTCCATCAAATCCATTGTTTATTCAATGTTGTTCATGTTCTTGTCTTCTCCAGCATGCGCATTGCGGATGCTTGAGCGCTCTGGTGTAGCAAAAACAAATAGGTGTTATAAAATTGGGGCCCTGGCATGCAGTACATTGCAGGTAGCTACAAAATAGGAACCCTTTGGTGACCAAGTTGTTTCATGAAACCATACATTGATACACTATAATATTGGCAACTGAACAAAACCACACAAAACCGACATATGTCACTATAGAATTGGAGCCTCATATAAAATTGGAGCCTAAAGTCACTAAATTTAGGCACCCAAAAAAATCAAAACTGGGACCCGGAGGTTTGAGATAAAAAAAAATCGAGCCCACCAAAACAAGGTAAACAGGGCAGCTGAAATTGAGGGGGGACCTGTATAAAAAATCGTTTTATACAGCACCTAGGTGTCCCAATTCTATAGGGTAAATTGGCTAGGGGATGAAAAATGACGAATTTATATATATATATATTTAGAAAAGTAAAGAACCTGTGTGGCAAAACAAAGTCTGCTTGAGAAAAACAGAAACAGGCTGCATAGAGATGTACAAAGGCTTTGAGAGCAAAAACCACATGGGCCATGGGGAGAAAAACATCAACATGAAATTGGGCATATTCTACCTGCATTTTCGGCAAATTTGCCTGCGGAATGGAAACAATGCATATTCTCTGTAAGCGGAGAACCTTATATATATATATACATATATATAATAATAGGTTCTGTGTCTATATCTGCACATATGTACTATTTTGTAGTCATATCAATATTTTAATCTAGACTGGTTGTTCATTGATCCTGAAGTGCACTGTTGCTTGATGGTGATTAGGTGGATCAGTTTTGATTTTGATACTAACTATATCGAAATATTCCAACTCATTCAATTTTTGATTTTGGCCAACATCCAGCATAAATCCCAGCACCCTCCGATTTTACATTCTATCTACTTTAGGATCACTAAAATGCTTCTCACTGAACCGGATGTAAGCCTCCAGCAGACTTCTCTGCACATCTGAAGAAACATACCATATCTAACTACATGTGTCTATGTTCACTGCCGCCTGCATGCCATAAGTTTTAGATTGCTTCAGAGATTTCATGCCTGTAGTAGTTCTGGTATCTTCCAATGGCATGTGACGCAAGGAAAATCTTCCAGAGTGTCTCACTCAAGAGCAAAGGGCTGCCGTTTGATCAGGGGAGGTATGCAAAGCAGGATTGTCGCTTTTCCTTTTGGCAAGGCTTTCAAGTCGAGGCTTTCAAGGATTCTCGCATACTCTTCACAGCGCTCTCATAAGCCTGGCTATTCCAGCGGAAGGTGAACTCCAGCAGTCTCAAGCGCAACCCAAGGAATCCAACAGCTAAAAGTTACACGTCAAGAGCGTCTCTCTCTGGGCGCCTGCCGTGTGAGCCACAGCACAGCCAGGCGCTCCTGTGGAGGCAACGCGATGCAACCAAAACGCAATCCATTCAAACAAGCAAGCCCAGCAACTCATCTACTCACCCCCAGTGTCTGGTTGACTGCGTGTTTGATACGCTCGTCAATGCAGCGACTCAGTCATTCACCGCTTGACAAAAAACCAATCTAGCATCCAATCAGTCAGTCAACCAACCAATCGGCCACAGGGTCCGTCAAACACTTGCATCCAAACTTGTCGAGGCAATGCTGGTGTTACAGGCTGCTGCTAGCACGAAGAAAAAATCGATATATGAATACCTTATTATCATGTTATGAATTCCTTATTATCTTTAGTTTATCTTTATTTTGGCGTGTTTCCGCCAATCTTTTCGAAATCTGCGCAGAAAACGTCCCGCCTGGCCCTTAATGACGCTGCCTCCTCGATTGCAAACCATCAACACGCAAACAAAACAGTTGCCAAACAAGAAACGGCACAGATCTGGACAAATATTCAGCACCGAAGGAAAAGGCTCAAAAAAATAACGAAAGTGTGCGACATGGCACTCTCAAAACCAGTGCCTTGTTCTGCTTTCCTCTTTTTTTTGCTTGATCCCCTCAGCCACGCAGCCGAGCTTTGAAACTCCCTAGTTGTGGCAGCGAACCCAACAGATTGCAGAAATATGCATGGTGGTCGTGATATCACTTCTACCTTGTCACCCCCCTCCTCCCCTCCACCCTTGAAAAAATAAACCGTAAATATTTCAAAGGGGCTTGACGTAAGTTCGGTTTATCGACTTTAAGTGGGCTACCTGGAAATAATTTTCCTTCCCATCCCCCCAAAATGCCTTTCCCCAGCATGATATTTTTTGATCTTCCAATTATTTGAAGGGGTTGCCACATGTCACGCTTCAACGGCAACTCTCCTCCACCCCCCCACCTTCCACCCCAACTCAATGTGGAAAATAAAAAACATGTTTTGAAATATTATGAGGGATGCCTTCAGAGTATGACCCGTCAACATAATTACATCAAAATTTCTAGTATAACAAAAGGAACCCCCTACCCAAAATTTGTCCCGGCAAGAGACCCCAAACAGTGTGGGGGAGTGGGAGGATACTGTATGGTAATGTGGATGATGATGATGGTGGTGATGATGAATAATAAAAATACGATATAATACAGTAATAAGAAGAAGAAGAATAATAACAAGAATAACAATAACAAGAACAATAATAATAATAGTAATGCTAATAATAATAATAACAATAAAATAAAATTATTGATGATGAGGATGATGATGATGATGATGGTGAGGATGAAGACGATGGTGAGAATGATGATGATGATGATGATGATGGTGGTGATGATGATGATGATGAGGATGACAATGCAGAAGATGAAGTGGAGGATGAAAAGGTGGAGGATGATGATGTAGAGAAGGAGGAAGATGATAATGTTGAGGAGGATAAGGTTGAGGATGATGATGATGACAAGGATGATAACGTTGGAAAAGATGAGGTGGAGGATCATAGTGTTGCGGAAGATGAGGCGGATGATAGTGATGTTGAGGATGATGATGTCAAGGGAGAGGAAGATGATGTTGATGCTGAGGAGGAAGAAGATGACGATGATGTTGAGGAGGATGATGTTGAGGAGGAAGACCATCCCAAGACCGGGGCCCACACTTTGTGCGGGCCTGCGCAGTCGAAACGCATGTCAAGATCTCACAAGAGCCACTATACGAAAACTTACGGGAAAAATGCCGCAGCCCAAAACCATGGCCCACGCTTGTGCGAGCCTGCGCAGTCGAAACGCATGTCAAGATCTCACAAGAGCCACTATACGGAAACTTACGGGAAAAATGCCGCAGCCCAAAACCATGGCCCACGCTTGTGCGAGCCCGCGCAGTCGAAATGCATGTCAAGATTTCACAAGAGCCACTTTATATATACGGAAATTTACAGGAAAAATGCCGCAGCCCAAAAGCACGGCCCACACTTAGTGCGAGCCCGCGCAGTCGAAACGCATGTCAAGATTTCATGAGCCACTTTATATATACGGAAATTTACAGGAAAAATGCCGCAGCCCAAAACCACGGCCCGAGCCTGTGCAGTCGAAACGCATGTCAAGATTTCACAAGAGCCACTTCATATGGAAATTTCCGGGATAAATGCCGCGGCCCATTTTGAAATATTTTGCTGGATATTCCATCCCTTCAAAAAATATGCGGGGATATCAATATTAACCAGGTAAATTTGACCAATAATTTTCGTAAGGGGTAGGTTTACGGATGTGCACGTTGGAATATGATGGAATATGCGAATCATGATCTAACCCTTCAATATACCCTGGAATAATTAGGTTTTGAAATAAGTTCATACGATCTTCAAATCGTTGAAAAACACCTATAATATCCTATAATACCTTCTCTCCTTGGGAATTCCCGCGCAATGGTGTTCAACCATCATCTTCATCACTGGTTCTTTCTTGCATATTTCCTATTGTTCATACTCCTTTCTATTTCTTCCATATTCCCTTCATCTCCTTCCAAAGAAGTCTCGATGGGGAATGAGTGGGAAAGGGCAAGCGTTCGGTTTTTATAGGTTTTTGACTTTGGAGCTTCTGGGTGAGTTGGGTGATTCTGGCAGCTGCTCACTTTGGTTTTCAGACGCTTTCATACTTCCCCTATTTCTCCCGTTTTCCCTTCATTTCCCTCCAAAGAGCTCTCGATGGGAAGCGCTCGTTTTTTTAGAAGGTTTTGTGTCATTTTTCCAGTTCCTGGGCGAGTTGGCAGCTGCCCACCTTGATTTTTGAGGAGCGCACGGCACCTCCAATATCCTTAGAATAATTTCTTAAAGAACGTTTTTGGTTGCGGGTTGCAAGTTTTGATGCGTTCGTGGTGCAACTTAGCCCGAAGGGAGATTTTGGATGATTTTGGCACGACTAGCAGGGAGCACACATGAAACATGATGTTTGAATTTATTTGCACTTTAGGATTCGCAACGCATCGATCCTAAAAAACAACAAGAAACAACATAAAAACAAATCAAACACCTTTGCAAACCCAACATTGTGCAGGATTTCGTGATGATTTACTTTGCGTTTCAGTTGGCTATGCAATGCTACGCATCCCCTTTGTGGCTATATTCCCCAAACAGTGTGTCCACAGTGAGGGGTTCTTACGGTAGTTGTAAAGGCCGGTGCTTGATCAGGGTGCTGACTCTGCTTTCCAACACACTGAATATGATATAATTTTCCCGGGGTCTGACCCCACTGAAATTATTTCCACTGAAAATTATTTTGGCGCAAACTTGACCTTATCTTAAACCTCTTGGAAATAGCTAAATATCCAAATTACTTTGGGAAAATTATGTTGGTACGTGACTTCCCCCAAGTACCAGTAGTACCGCACAAGGCGGTGGCGGAAGTTTCAAAAATAGGAAACCTATAGGAGAGGTTGGTTGTTGTGAATCAGGGATGGCAAAGCGAATCCACTGATGGACCGAAAGGTGCTTGAGGTCTCCTCTCTGTCTCTCTCGTTCTCTGACTATCTACCTACCTATCTATCTTCTATGTATCTATCTATCTAGCTATCTATCTCTCTCTCTCTTTCTCTCTTTCATCTAATTACCTATCTACCTATCTACCTATCTACCTACCTATCTATCTATCTATCTAACTATCTATCTATCTATCTCTCTCTCTCTTTCATCTGTCTATCTGTCTATCTGTGGTGCAGTGTCATTCAGTGTATTGTAGTGTAGTGTAATGTAGTGTAGTGGAATGTAGTGTAGTGTAGTGTAATGTAATGTAGTGTAATTTCGTGTAGTGGAGTGTAGTTGTGTAGTCGTAGTTGTAGTGTAGTGGAGTGTAGTGTAGTGTCATGTAGTGAAGTGTAGTGGAAAGTAGTGTAGTGTAATGTAGTGTAGTGTAGTGGAGTGTAGTGTAGTGGAGTGTAGTGTAATGTAGTGTAGTGTAGTGTAATTTAGTGTAGTGGAGTGTAGTGGAGTGTAGTTGTGTAGTTGTAGTTGTAGTGTTGTGGAGCGTAGTGTAGTGTAATGTAGCGTAGTGGAGTGTAGGGTAATTTAATGTAGTGTAGTGGAGCGTAGTGTAGTGTAATGTAGTGTAGTGAAATTTAATGTAGTGGAGTGTAGTCAAGTTGTGTAGTTGTAGTTGTAGTGTTGTGGAGTGTAGTGTAGTGTAATGTAGTATAGTGGAGTGTGGTGTAATGTAACGTAGTGTAGTGTAGTGAAGCGAAGCGGCGAAGCGACATCTGAACCTCCAAAAGTGGTCCGAACCCCTAGTGTTTTGTACATTTTGACTTCGAAATGTGCTTCGCGCCACAACGGCGTGCAATTTTTCATCTCTCATCTGGCCAGCTGGCTCCGCACCCGCCGCTTTAGCGAGCCTACTTTTCGACTCTCCGGAGCCACAAATCATTGGAAAACCACAGTGTTTCGCGACTTTCCTACCTTTTCGCGCATCTGCATCTTCTTTCTTCTGACTCTTTCTCTTCTACTCTTCTCTCTTCTGATCTTTCTCTTCTCTCTGCCTCTGCCCTGCTCTGCTTTTCATCTGTCCATATTGTCGGAAGTTTGACTTCTAAACTTCCTTCGACTATTGCTAAAGTAGCAGTGATGTCGTGGTTGTGAGACACATGATGCACAGAGAATGTTCCGTTTAAGGACTCTCTCAGTCACACCTCGCTTTCTGTGTGGTACACGACCGCTACGTGCACCGCGCTGGAGATCACTATGCGCGACTCTCAATGGTTGTGCATGATTTCGAAAGCGCAACGTCTGGTGATGTTAGCAACCCAACGACCTCTGCAATGTTTGGAGCTATAGTTTGTGCTGGGATCTCCATAGCAAACCACACACATTGCAACGGAGCAAGGCTGAGACCCGACAAGCTGAAGCCGAGCTGCGGCTGCGATTGAAACGACGACGGGCCCTCTTTGGATGGCTGCGAAAAGCTTGAAACAAAGGAGGCAGCCTGGGCCAGCGCCAACTCCTGGACAAATCATGCAACACGAAATGAACATGTCCATGGTGAACACATCATAGACTCATGTCATGGACACATGGCGGGCGAGTGTCCAATTGAATGCTCCTCCGCACGTGAAAATAGGAGGCGAGAACCGTCCTTGTGCTGAAAGGTCTGACCTTGAACAAAGCTTCCGAATATCCATCATCATACAGCATCAGTACTCATAGCGGTCTCAGATGCTTCAGTTGTTGTGGATACTTGTGGTTTCTAGAGTCGCGTGACAAGATGTGACGAATATATGATTACTATTGATTACTCCGTCAGTTGAAGATTCTTTTTCGCATCAGGAGGGTTTGGGGTGAACCCCAATCAACGCCAATCGTTTTCGTAGAATCTCTATCAAAATGAATTCATCCGCAGTTGGCTCCACTTTAAACTGATCAGTGGGGAATTCCAGCCTTCTGATTCAGCTGCTGCAGATAGCGAATGGCAGCGCGCCAGGCAAATAAAGTGCGTGAAGAAATAGAAGGGTCGCTCCTGGCTGTCAAACTGATGGTGGTTGGGCATGTTAGATGTTCGCATGCATGAGGGCAAGGCGGGGTGATTGATCTATTTTGGCGTTTATTGTGTGCATCTGATTGCAACCATGGGATCTATGCGCCGGCTAACTCACAGTTAAGCGAAACCATAGACACAGAATGTTGGCCAAATTTGGGTATTCTGCTACTGTAGGTTTCTCAGTCCGGTTCCAAACATCTCAACTGGTGAGTTGATGCAGCAATTTGACGTGGCCACGGTTTTGCCTATGCCTGCAACACCACCACTTTCCGTATTTTTTCCTACGCAGGCGCCTTCAATTTCAATTTAAATCACATGATGCCATGACAAGATCTGACATGCACCAGCACTTAAAGTCGAATTCTTTTCATCTTCCCGTGCGAGTTATCATCAAGAAATACCTGTACAAACACAGCAACACCATCAAACATCATATGAATCATATTATGCAACTTTTGACAGGTGCCAATTCTGCCATCTGCCCTGGAGGCCCTTTCATGTTCTCTCAGCCATTTGGATATGCTTCAAGTGGAGGTGTGTATGGTCTTCCGTTGTACATGCGCTCATAGATCTTTTGCTTGTGAAAAACCTAACTACTTTAGTGTCTGAAGCAACCTCGTGCCACTGACTACACCCAGAATCATTGAGCCAAGGGGGTCAGACAACTTTCAGGAGGACCTTCTGCAGACTGTCTGCGCGTAAGGCATTGTCCTACCAGATCTATGAATCAACCTGCAATTCTATGAAAAGTAGTCCAAGTCTAGGAGCCCATACGGGACAGGCCACGGTCAACGATCGTATCAGTTAAAGGAAAGCATTGCCGCAGCTTGGCGTCCACTCTGTGATGGTATGGGGTGTGGCCTCGTGTGTCTCGCTGTGTGTCCGCTGCTTCTTCCCTGCTTCGTGCCCATGCCCTTGCCTCACTCCTGCCCTACTCCTGCCCTCCCCAGTTTGCACCGCCTATATTTGGTCCGAGCAATGAACAGGACTCCAGCAGATTTCTATGCTAGATCCCTGTATCCTGCTAGGTTTCAGTCCATTCCCTCCCCCCCGCTCTCTCTCTTTCTTCCCTTTTTGCCACTGTTACAAGCCTTTTTGATCCTAATTGCAGCCAGAGGCCTGCTGATGACCCACCTTTACCATCCTTGCCTTTACATTGCCTCTCTGTTTGCTCAGCTGGATACAGTACCGGGCGGTGATTGTAAACTTGCAGGCATACAATCTTTGTTCGCACTGAATGGACATGTAAGGGCAAGATTTTGATGTTGGAAGCTGGCAGCATGAAGCATTTCCTCTCTGCCAAATAGCTTTACGATAGGATGTGTAAATATCTTTTGCTCAGCTGTTGAACAGCTCTTGGTTCTGTTGTACCAATGTGAACAAGTGTCTATGCAGCTTTGAAAGAACAACCCAGGGAGATCACGCAGGTGAAACAGTGTCAACACTGGGCCATGGCTCCTCTGGGGGACAGTACTCTGTAGAGCAAGACCAGCTGATATCTTCCAGAATCACGTTGTGCATGGCTGGTATAACTTCCAGCGGTAGATTCACAAACCTTTCTGAGATGATCAAACCCACTTGCTCTTTTCCAGAAGCTTGTGCTGGCCCTAGTATGTACTGCTGCAACTGCTTGTCCAGCCTGAGTTTGAGCAGAGCAAGAAGAGTTTTGCACCAAGCTTCTTCAGCGAATTGCTTCAAATTCAAGATTGTCAGCATGCCACAAAGGGTCACGTCGTCTTCCTCAGAAGCCGCCTCCTGTGTCTGCGTCTGCTGTGCCTCTTCGACCCCTGACTTCACCATTGTTCCAATATTGACCTGATCCACGATACTGTTTGCAAGGCTGGAGAAATCCAAATCCAAGCTGCCCAGAGTGCCACTGCATAGCAAATCTCGAACACTATGAAAATCATCTTCTTCTGGATCAAAGAATTCGAATTCAACTTCAAAAGTTTCATTCAATCTGCTGGAACCAGCTGCGGAGTCCCTGATGTTCTGGATTTGCGTCGCTTCAAGCTCTTGAGCCTCTTGAGCCCTTCTCTTCGGCTGTTTGGAACCTTTGCCAAGGCTTTGGGCTTTTGTTTTTTTCTTTGCAGGAACTTGCCCGTCTTTGACCGAGGCAACTTCACCTCCTGACTTCTCCTTGCTGCTTGGGGTTGGTCGACGCTTTAACCTCCCCGATTTGCCCATGAGACAAGGATCTACAGACTAGATCAAACTAGTAGGCAGGGAATTGCAGCCGGTGTGAAATTGGCACTATGTGGCACTATTACGCACCATTGCAATGTGATGCTGGTGGAATGCAGGCCTTCACAATGTTAGTATCCTGGTCAACCCTGGTGAATCCCCGTGAATGTGATGCGCTACTCAACAGAAACTTGCTTAGCCTGATCTTTCAATGTTTGGGCCAATAGTCCGGGCACATGCTATGACCAGTCCAGCTGAGCTGACAATTGTCTTATGAGCGAAGCTGATTCTGCACAAGGAATCGACTAAACGCTAGAAATACCTAATCATAGTAAAACAGAATCAGCAAAAACATGCAAAAACAACCATGACCACCCATCCATGGAGCAATGTACGAGTGGTGTGCATTCCAAACAAATTCTTTCATGCAGACTATCTTCTTCGGCTAAATGCAAAAGATGCAAGGCCCCTGCGTGATACTGAGTTCTGCCACCGGACTGTCAAGTTCATTATTGTAATCAGCTGGCGCGTCTAGTGGCTTTGTATGTTCTGTTCAAGCTCTGATTGCAATAACCATCAACATTCTCAACAGCAGTGTTTAGCTGATACTTCCTCGGCGGCACTTCAAAACCGCGCAAATGTTTGACCGGCGTCAAAAAGACAATTTCAAATGTTCTAAGAATATCTAGGCCTTCTAAACCGGCACTTGCGGTGAATTACAGTTGAATTGGAAAGGAGCCTGTCCAGGTTGTCAGAGCAATCTGTCAAGGGGCATGTCATTCCTGCCCTCGTGTGATCTGGCTGGGTTTCTTGCTTGGAAGCTATACAGTGTCACTTCAGACTGGATAGGTTCAAGATGATTTAAGCACTTTCATCCACCTTTTATTCACGCAGGAATGAAGCACATTGCGCAGCTGCTGTTGCCATCTCCTTGCAAGCTATGACAGGCGACAGTCCCACCGTTATGTCGGGTTCGGACTGATATCGTGCGACGCACAATGCCATTTAGAATCGTTTAGAATCATTTAGATGGGATTGCAGGCTTGACCATTTCTGCTCTCCAAAAATGCGAGCAAGCGGCATCTATTTGTTGTTGTCGAGGACTCCTTGACAGCTAAGTACGCAAACATACAAGATTCCAGGAAAAGCCTCAGCAAATTCAGTTGTCTCTGGCTGGCGGCTGGTTTGCAAATTAAGTCGAAGTCAAGTAGACCTTGGCAGCCACAGCGGATACCTGAAGCTGCACTCGAGCCCGGCCCCCAGGAACAGCAAGGGCGCCAGACCCATCAGGGAAGAAATCTATCAACATTGTGGAAGCTTGAAGGTACAGCAGGGCAAAAAATTGTCTCATCCCAAGAAACATCAGGTTCGGATTCAAAATGATCTTAATTCACATAGCTGCACAGGTAGCCTTTTGTCAGTGTTCGGCGTAAATTTGGCAAGGTAAACGACATCCAACCAACACCCTAAGCCGAGGAAAAAACAAAGGACATATGATTGAGAATCCACATTTTACGGGTCCATCTGGACATTTGACAGATCTTCGTTAAAAGATAAGTTGAAGGCTTTCAGGTCAGACAGTGGCTCGGCATCTTCTACTTCTTGCTCTGGAATTGCAATAGCATGACACGTAGTGACAGAATGTGATACATACACCAACAAATCGGAAATCATGGAACACTGGTATGAGTCCAACGTCGCTCCTTGAAGTCCTTTCCTCTTTTCATCATCCAGCTTCAACGTCCTAAGATGAAACCGCCAAAAAAACTTCATAACGTTTCATAAACCATTCATGATGATTCATGAGCACAACAAAGAGCAACATTGCACAAATGTGCAGAAATCAACTAGCCCAATTACAATTCGGCGAATTTCGGCAAGACCTCATGAGGATTTCTGGACATGTACTGAAGGTCTCAGCATTTGGCGCGCAATAGCTTCGACAGAACTCTGTCCCACCCGGACATGTTTCCTGCAACACGCCAGCAGAAAACTGAGGGGCTTTGTGAGCTTAGAGGAACTTAGCAAAACTTCTTTGGTTTGGCTTGTCGTATGGCCCTGATTTACTTGGATTTCGAGATGATTTGTTCTGGTGCAAAGTGCAATCCGAAAGAGTTGGAGGAGGGATTTGGCGAATGAAAGTCGATGCAAGCGTCCTTCCAAGGGCGGATGCACCTTCCAATTCCTGGCCGAAAAGAAAAGGCTCTTTCTGCTCACCGCTTGATGTCATAGATCTATGATCTACTTGAGACCCAAGGGGTGAACGAAAGGAAAGCTAAGGTTCATAATGTTCATATGAGCCTGAAAACATGACGGGATTGTGATATGCTGAATACAGATTGCCTAGAGACCTGGCAGGATTTGAGCCCGTGGCCATCTGCTTCCAACACCGCTTCAAAATGCCCCGGGAGCTTGGGGGGAGGGGGGGAAGGGGTGGGTTCGAATTAAAATCACAGTGTTGGACTCAGACCTGCCCCTCCCCTTGCTGGAGCAAGAGTAAAACCCAGCTAGCTACCGCTAGCTTTCGTGATATGAACTAACATGAACTAACCACAAGTAAAAATCTCTGGTGAAGGACGTCACACCAATTCTAATGAATGTGGGTAAAATTTTGCTCAAAAATCCCAGCATGAATGGAAGTACGAAGTACTGGTAGAATTCCCTCTGCTGACTCTGTTCGGTTGTTTCCCAACACAATCGAGCCGGCAAAAACGCACGCAAGCACCGCACAGGCCTTCACACCAAACAAATCCAGCTGATTGCAAACAGCCTCGCTGATCTCGATTTGGCCCCAGAGCTGAATCCTGGGATTTTTTTTCAAGATCAATGGAGCACAAAATGCCTCGGATTGTCCTAGTACGACAAGGTTTTTGGTATGTCTTGAGCGGCTTGGACCGTGATATCCGTGATACAATAATATACAATAATTCTAAATAGTAAGTCTATAACATTCTTACAAAAATTGCAACGGATGCAACGAATTTCCAGAACAAGTGAAAAGATCAGCAAAGAGAACAGTTTCAGTAATCAAGGAGGTCTTGAGCATTTCCTGGGAAGCACAGCTCATGTGTAGCATCCAAGCTTATGAAAAACAACACCGTAGAAACATCATACGAGGCAGGCTCTATTCTATTGTTTCGGTGTGTTTCCCTTTGCTACTTATGGCGCCCAATTGTTTTTTAATTTGTGGAGCCTTTTGTTCTTCAACTTGGAATATGTAATTTATTGTGTGT